CTGGGGATTCGAACCCGCCACCTTAGGTGTACGTGGCTGGCGCCTTAGCCAGTTGAGCTATAGGCGCCGAGCCATGGTTTTTTAATTTTATAGGTAAAGGTGTTTGCTAAGTGTATTAGTAATTCTCTGTAATCTATACATTTCCATTAGAATCTTGACTTAGATTGTAATTATTCAGGAGACAAAAGATAATAGAGAAATACCTCTCTCCTGTCATATAAAGAGGTTGTTTGTACAATTGAGGGCTTTTCAGTTCCAACTTTGCCCTGTACAATCAGCCTTATTGTAGAACCTAAGTTAACTGATGGAACATCTGATTATATCCATTGATTCATAAGATCTAATGACCACCTTTTATTTGCATGATGCACAGTAGAGATTTATTTTGCAATCATGTGATGGTTCTATTTTATCTTTTTAAATTATTCTCCAGAAGCCAAGTATCTGGAGCAAACAGAATGCAGGAGTCTCAGTTCGAGCTGAGAAGGATGCTGAAGAAAAGATCGAGGAACAGAAGACTTTAGACAAAGCACGGTAAAGTTAAGCTCTACGAACATAGTTACCTTTGAGGCTACTCAGGCAAAGAAATGAAAGTTCAGATTTTGTTCTTTTTGATTTACAGATTTGATTTTTAAAATCCTACTAACCAAATACTCCATAAGTACTCTTAAATAATGTAATTTGCAGATCTATATGTACTCGTATAAAAAGATAAGACAGTCTTATTTTAAAAAATGCAGCAAAGTCTTGCTTTGAGCCCGGGTTGGACACTAAGATTATCAACAAATTTTTAAGAAGTGTCCCCATGTGTGATTCTGGGCTAGGCGGTATGCCATTAGCATTTAGAAACTCTAAATTTTAACTCCCAACTTTTTATTTTGAAATACTTCAAGGGTGCAATGAACATTTGCATACTCATAAATTTATAAATTAACAATTTGCCACATTTACTTTTCTTTTCTTTTCTTTCTTTTTTTTTTTTTTTTGAGACGGAGTCTCACTATGTCACCCTCGGTAGAGTGCTGGGGTGTCATAGCTCACAGCAACCTCAAACTCTTGGGCTTAAGCGATTCTCTTTCCTCAGCCTCCCAGTAGCTGGGACTACAGGCACCTGCCACAATGCTTGGCTATTTTTTTGTTATTGTTGTCATTGTTGTTTTAGCAGGCCCTGTCTGGGTTTGAACCCACCAGCCCAGGTGCGTGTGGCCCGCGCCCTAATCACTGAGCTACAGGTGCTGAGCCCACATTTACTTTCTCTCCATTATTCCCTCTCTTGTGCACACAGTCAAACACATACACGTGTGTGTAGAGAGATGTTAATTGTCATGATACTTTACATCTAAATATTTCAGCATATATCTTCTAAGAACAAGGGTGTTTCCATACCTAATGCTGCTATCATACCCAAGAAATTTAACATTGATAAAATAATATTATCTATTATAGTTCGTATTCAGATTTCACCAGCTATCTTGGTGCAATTATGTCTTTTATAATTTTTTTAAAAATGTAATCCAGGATTCAAGGGTTATACATTGCATTTAGTTTTCAGATGTCTTTAGTCTCCTTTAAGTATGGAACAGTTCCCTTGCCTTTGTGTTGTGTTAAGCCATTGACATTTTTGATGAGTCCAGGCCAGTTCTTTCTGCAGTGTCCCACAACTAATTAGAGTCATGTTAAATGTTCTTGGTAAACAATTCATTTAGGTGATTGAATCCCATCAGGAGACTCATAATGTCAGTTTGAATCTTTGGTGATAATAATTTGATTACTTGATTGAAGTAGGCCTGCTAGTTTCTCCATTGTAAAGTGCCCTTTCACATATAAAGTTAGTAGTAATCTGAAGTGGGAAATTGGAGACCATATGAATATCCGGTTTACCAACATGTTTCCACACAGTGGTTTGTTATGGTTGATGAGCCTTGCTAGTTATCAGTTACTACACTGATGGTTTCAAAATGAATTTTCTGTTTCTGTCATTCTGTCTTTATTTTTCCATTTTGTTGATTAGCTGGCATTCTTCTGTAAAGAAAAGACAGCATCTCCCTCAATTCAGAGATTTCTGAGTTATGCCTGTCATGACTGCTGCACATGCTTTTGGATCTATTACATAATAAAAACTCTGTAGTTGGAAACAGTGGTTGCTAAGATTGCTCAGCTCTCTTGGATCTGAAAATAAAATGTGGACTTGTTTTTCTTAGCATTTGAACCGTTCACACTTTACTTAAAGATACAGTTTTTGATTTGGTCAAAAGGAGTCAAAATCTTTTATTATTTTACTCTATAAATCAGAGCTTTTTCTGGCACTTTGCTATACTTTTTCTGTGTAGTGACATGTAGGTAGTGCTTTAATTCTACTGTGCATGGTCTGTAGGACGTTTGCCGCTCTCCAGAGCTTAGGACAGGCAAGCACAGTCCTAGGCTTCTGTCTTGAGCCAGACCTTGGGCAAGTTACTTACTCATTGAGACTTTATCTGTGAAGTGAGGTGGTTAGTACTTAGTTCATAAAGTCCTTGAGGGCATTAAAGGAGATACGTAGTGTCTGGAAGATAGCAGATTGCAGGTAAGTGTCCGCTATTCTTGCCCTCTGAATTATTTCTTTCTTAACTCTACTGAAGAAATTGTTAAGCTCATAATAACATCCTCATCTACTAAACCCAGAGTCCATTTCTCTAGCATGTTCCTTAATATTGATTATTCATTTTTAGACTATTACTCCACCTGCAAACTGTTATTATACTGCACCAAGCTTCTTATCCTTTCCCATGTGTGCTCTCGTCCCTGCCTGCCTGTCTTTATTTTGTACCACTCTCTCCTTTGCTCCGTACCCTTTGCCACATGTGTCTCTTCTTGTAAAGGTCAGGCTCATTCCCATTTAATCTTTCTTCTGCCCCAGTGGCTCCCCTGGCCCCACATCCTCTTTGGTTGGCTGCTGCTTGCTACACAAACTGTAACTTCTTGCTGCCAGACCCATCAAAAGGGTTTCCTCTAACCACCTAATCTAAATTAGGTTTAGTTTTTTTTTTTTTACTTTTACTCTGAAATACAGAGGGTCCTGTGCACTCACTCTAACCTGACACCTATTTTGTGTTCTGTTTTGCTTTTTAAGTTTTTTTTCATGTTTTCATTAAGACAAGGAGACTCTGTGATGACACAGCTAGTTACATTAAGAGCACTCCAAAATAGAGCAACTTACCCTACTAGAAGCCCAGTTCAACTAAGCTGGTCCACTGAACACTCCATTAATGCATGACAAGGGGCCTCTCTCAGCCACCTTTGCCTCTGTTTCCTTTACAGCTTTTCTCACTGTCTGAAATTCTCTCTTTTGTTTATTTATTTATTGCCATTTCCTGCTCTGGAATAGAAATTCCATGAGAGCTGGGGCTTTGTCTTGTTCCTCTGAGTCCTTAGCAGCTAAAACAGTGCTTGGCACAAAGGAAGCATGCAGTAAGTACTTGTTGAATGGATGTGTATAATCTTTCTGTCACTGAGGATGGTGACAGTGAAGATGACTGACGGCATGCTTAATTAATTTTTTAATTTTAATTCATCTTTATGACAAATCTAGAAGGCAAATCTGAGTTTTATTCCATCTATATGTATGGGAACCAAGGCACAGAAAGGTTAAATAACTTGTTTAGAGCATACAGCCATGTGACTCAAGGACTTGATGTCATTAGAAAAGAAATTGTTCATTATAATTAAGTGTGATCATTCTTAAGAGAAAGCTTAGAAGACTACTTTGGGGCTTCTGTCTACTATCATTAAGTTTTTTATTTTTATTTTTTTTGCAGTTTTTGGCCAGGGCTGGGTTTGTACCCTCCACTCCGGGCGTATGGGGCCAGCTCCCTATTCCTTGAGCCACAGGCACCACCCATCATTAAGTATTTTTAGATTGAAGAATTGCTAGCCCTCTTACCCAGTCTGTGCCCTCTAAACAATAAATGCCACCAGAATTACTGTGAACATAGAATCTGCTTTGTTGGACCTAACAAAGATTGATGTTTGTTATTTATTAGCTGTGTGTCATGAATTCATCCTCTATGTACAATAGAGGACATTATCATATTATTTATAAGAAGTTGGTCCCTAGATTCCTTAGAGAAGCCTAATAAGCCGTAGATGACCAGGGTCCCTTGTCTAAAAACAATAATGTAAAAAATTTTGCATTAATAGACGGGCACCTGTAGTCCCAGCTACTTGGGAGGCTGAGGCAAGAGAATTGCTTAAGCCCAAGAGTTTGAGGTTGCTGTGAGCTGTGACGCCATGGCACTCTACCCAGGGTGACAGAGAGTGAGACTCTATCTCAAAAAAAAAAAAATGTTTTTTTCATTGAATCTGGTGATATTTTTGGAAGCTTGCAAACAGAAAATGTTTTTGTGTAGACTCATCTCTCTTTTTTGGCATGTCAACGTGAATTGCATTTGGCAGTTAAATTAGTAGAATTTTAACTCAGTTTATTCATTTATTCATTCATCAAATATTGACAACCTGCTATGTATCAGATGTTGTTTTAGGAACTGGGACCCAGTAATGAATAAAAGAACATGGACCATGCTCTCATGAAGCTTCTGTTTTTGTTAGCAGAGCAGATGTGATGGGTATGAGGGCTCTGTAGGGTGGTGTGGTCAATGTTAGTTGTGGCCACTTTCACCTTGTCAGGGTGGGCTTTGTGGGTAGGTGGCATCTGTCAGCCTGAGGAGCTGGGACAGTGGGACAATTATAAGACCATTTCTCATACTTATGTTTTCTTTTTTCCTAGAGAAAAATTGGAAGAAAAAGCCAAATTATATGAAAAAATGACTAACGGAGACTTTATTGGTAAGTACACGGTATATATTTATACTTTAATTTCTGTAATTCATGGAGCCCTTTGATATTACATTATTTGTTGAAATAGAGAAAAAATTTAAAAATCAAATCAAAATTTTACTTTCTGTGGTTACACCAAGACAAGAAAACCAGTAATTTATTAATCATACAGTGGGTGCGAGGAGGGGACATAAAGGCAGTAGAAGCAGGTGCTGTGTGTCTGTCCTTCAGGTGGTGCCATCAGGTGAGGAGAATGGCACAGGACCAAGCAAAGTTAGGAAACCAGGTCTAAGCAGGCTGTACTTACAATAGGTACAGTTATGTTAAAAAACAGCTGAGTGGAATTATGGCTGTGTCAGGGTGCTGGGATTATGTTTTTCTATTTTTTTATGTGACGTGTTTATAATTGCTTTAAAAATAATAATGATGATAAATCTCCTTGTCCTCTAGAAAAACCCAATCTACAATTCAACAACAGTAGAAAAAATTTTATGGGGCAGTGCACATTTCATTGCTAAAAGTTGGGGAAAGTGGAAATGTGGTCAGGGAAGTCTCTTGGGGAGAACTGGAGAAAGGGATGCTCTAAGGAGAGAATGATAAGTGTAGACCAGCCGAAGGGCCAGACCTAACATAGTTGGGGCCCAAGGAGAGCAGGAGAGAGACAGGGCTATCCTTGGTCACCTGTTGCCTCTTCTGAGACAGCAGGGAGCCTGGCAGAGGACGGTCAGACACTTGACAAAACTGGGCACTGTGGGAGAGGGGTGGCTGTCCATCAAGGGCAAGTCTTTCTTCTTTTGACTCAAACTTTACTTTTACTGTTAAGATACAAGTCAGGTCCAAAGGAATGTATATGTGGAGATTTGATTTCATCAAAGCCAGCAGGCCTACCTCCTGTTAGGTATGATGGACCTTCATGTTTGAGCAAGTTAAGTTTTGGAACCCCAGTTTTTCCTATTCTAAAGTGGGGATAGTGCCATCACCCAGTTATGGGGGCACCTAATATCTGGTCTATATAGGTTAATCTCTGTCCTCATAGAAAAAGACTTAAGCACCTTTCTCTTAAATTCAGTATAGGGAAACTTCACATGAACCGTATCTGTGACTATATGGGCTACCCTGGGTTGAAATAAATTCAAGTTATGGATTGTTGCTTCACTTTCAGTGTGTGTTTTAGCTCCTCAAGTAAATCATAAGCCCCAAGGACAGACAGTATCTTACACATTTCTATGCCCTGTAGAGTTTGGATCTGTGCTTTGTCTGGAAGTGTTGTTCATTGTCTTGAAAGGAACTCTCTTGACTTCTTTTATTTATATTATGGCCTTTAACTCAGTTACTATACCACAACAGAATAATGGGTTAAGTGATCCAGCCAGCCCCCATGATTAGAAAGCTATATTACATCTAGAGCAAAAAAGGTCAACTGTCCTGATGTGGCCCCATGAGAAATGCAGTTCTCCTTCTGTATGGTGTGATTAGCCAGATGAGTCGCTTAAAATCAAACTGTTGAATAATCTTAAAGTGACATTCTGAGATGGTATTGTTCACTCAAATGGTGTATTGATGAGGCAGCAGAAAATTTCAGGCTTTTTAAAGATTTTTGTGTGTGGTATGTGTCAGTTCCTGGGGCGGCTCTGTATCTCTGCACGTTCAGGGGTGGAGGCTTTGACTAGCCCTGTCGGGCCGTGGAGCCATCAGGAGATTGCTTCTTGTCAATTCCATGGTGGCATTCCTCTTTGATGTCTGAAAATTGATTTTTATGTCGTAGATGAAGAAGTAGAGGATATGTACCTTGTGGATTTCACACAGAAGATCATAGACAAGCGCAAAGAAATGGAGGCGTTCGGTGCCAGTAGAGATTCTCAAAAGGCAGGAGAAAGGGACGATGATGAAGAAAATCTTCCTGAGGAAGATATACCTCCTCCCCAGGACCCCAGCGAAGAATGGTCGGTAACACGGTGGATTAGATCTCGTAATATCCTCAAGCTTGTGTTGACTCTCTGAGAGTGGTTCTGTTTGGTAGTTGTCAAACTGTTTCTCTTTATTCTTCCTAGGTTTTCTTTTGAGAATTCTCTTTAAGTTAATTTGGATTAGGTGATAGCAGATGTAAAAACAGTGACTCCAATGAAGAAATAATTATGATAAAAATAGCAACTGAGCTCTTGCTGTGTGCCAGACCCAGGAGGCTTGGTAACATGGTATTCTTATTTGAGCCAAAGCTGTTCCTTTGTTCCCTGTGCTGCTACCTTACCTTTGTTTGACCTTCCTATGTTGGGTTCCCTGCTGTCTGGGAGGAGGCAGCCAGTGACCCATGTCATCATCTAGGAAGTAGTGATCACTGTTTCCAGCAAAAAGAAGCTGGGAGAGTCTGCGCAGCACACCTTACTCTGGCTGTGATGCTTTCTGGCCGTGTGGTATGGACATTGTGGGCCTTGGACAGCTCTTCGAGCTCCACCTTTTACTGTTTTATTTTATCTTATTTTATTTTTAATTTCTTTTTTTGAGACAGAATCTCACTCTGTGCCCCAGGCTACAATGTCATAGCATCAGACAAGCACACAGCAACCTAAATCTCCTGGGCTCAAGCAATCCTTCTACCTCAGCCTCCCAAGTAGCTGGGACTACAGGCGCCCATCACAATGCCCAGCTAACTATTTCTGTTTTTAGCAGGCACAGGAGTCTTGTTCTTGCTCAGGCTGGTCTTGAATTCCTGAGCTCAGACAATCCACCCACCTTGGCCTCCCAAGAGTGCTATAATTACAGATGTGAGCCACCCTGCCCAGCCCACCTTTTACTATTATATGACCTTTATCAAGTTCCTAACTCTCTGAGGTTCAGTTTCCTCACTGGCAGAGTAGAGATTACAATGCCTCATTCCTGTGATTGTTAGCCTTAAACATCCTTTAAGCTGCTGTCTGTGGAGTATAAATAGGTATTTCATTATTTTATTATTGAAATTTTTCCGAATTTTACCTATATATAGGTAGAGCCAAACTAGTCTTTTTTTTTCCTTTTTCTTTTATTAAATCATAACTATGTACATTAATCTATTTATGGGGTACAATGTGCTGATTTGATATACAATGTGGAATGTTTACATTGAACTGATTAACATAACCATCACCTCGCTTACTTATTTGTTGTGGTAAGACGTTTGTACTCTGTTCTTAATAGTTTTGAAATGTACCATTGCATTATGCACATTAGGTAAGGTCCCTCCTCCTGACCGTCTCTCTTCCCTCCCTTCTTCTCTCCTCTCCCTCCTCTTCCCTCCTTCTTTCTAGACTATAGTTATGTTTTACCATTCATATGAATGTGTAGGTGATTATGTATTGATTTCATAGGAATATTGAGTACATTGGATACTTTATTTTTCCATTCTTGAGATACTTTACTAAGAAGAATATGTTCCAGCTCTATCCAGGTAAACATAAAAGATGTAAAGTCTCCATCCTTTTTTATGGCTTCATAGTATTCCATGGTATACATTATATCACAATTTGTTAATTTGTTCATAAGTCTATGGGTACTTGGGCTGCTTCCCTGACTTGGCAATTATGAATTGGGCTGCAATAAATATTCTGGTGCAATGTCTTTGTTTTAAAGTGATTTTTGATCATCTGGGTATATATCTTGTAGAGGGATTGCAGGATCAAACGGCATGTCTACTTTTAGTTCCTTGAGTATTCTCCAAACTTCTTTCCAAAAAGGCCATATTGCATTCCCACCAGCAATGCAAAAGTGCCAACATCCACGCCACATCTGTAGTTTGGGGATTTTGTTATTTGAGCTAATCTTACTGGAGTTAGATGATATCTCAAAGTGGTTTTGATTTGCATTTCTCTGATAATTAAAGATGATGAGCATTTTTTCATGTGTTTGTAGGCCATGTCCCTGTCGTCTTCAGAGAAGTTTCTGTTTAAGGCTCTTGCCTACATAGAAATGGGATTATTTGTTCTTTTCTTATTGACTAGTTTTAGTGGATTCTAGTTATCAGACCTTTGTCAGAAGCATAACCTACAAAAAACTTCTCCCATTCTGAAGGCTGTCTATCTGCTTTACCTACTGTGCTCTTGGCTGTGCAGAAGCTTTTTAGTTTGATCAGATCCCAATAATATATTTTTGGTGTTGCTTCAGTTGCTAAGGTGGGCTCAGGGGTCCTCCTCATAAAATATTCTCCAGGCCAGTTTCTTCAAGCGTTTTCCCTGTATTCTCTTCTAGTATATTTATAGTTTCATGTCTTAAGTTTAAATCTTTTATCCAGTGAGAATCAATTTTTGTGAGTGACCAAAGGTGAGGGTCTAGTTTCAGTCTTCTACAGGTCACCTGCCAGTTCACCCAGCACCATTTGTTAAGTAGGGAGTCTTTCCCCCCCTGAATATTTTTGATAGGCTTATCAAAGATCAAATGACAGTAAGTGGCTGGGTTCATCTCTTGGTTTTCTATTCTGTTCCATAAATCTACTTGTATTTTTATGCCAGTACCAAGCTGTTTTGATAACTGTAGATTAATAGTGGTAATGTAATATCTACTGATTTGTTTTTATTTCTGAGTAATGTATTTGCTATTTGAGGTTTTTTCTGATTCCATATAAATTGAAGTACTATTTTTTCAAGCTCTTTAAAGTATGACTGTCATGCTTTGATAAGGATTGCATTAAATCTGTAGATTGCTTTGGATAGTATGGACATTTTAACAATGTTCATTATTCCCAGCCATGAGCATGGTATGTTTTTCCATTTGTTAACATCTTCAGCTATTTCTTCTCTCAGAGTTTCATAATCTCTTTATAGAGATCTTTCCTGTCCTTTTGTTACATCAGTGTATCAGTAAGTAAAGAGGTCAGAACATAAATTCTATTATGATGATTTTCTCTTATCTAAGACATTATTATTTAGAAACTTGTTTGGCAGTGCTCAGAATTGCTTATAGATGTACTAATGCTCTGATAATTTCTTAGGAATGTCCCTACTTACCCACCCTCTTGCCCGTGGGACTCAAATATCTTTGTTATGGGGATATCTGTTGGGAACTGCCAGGGACTGTTGGCAGCATATGTTGACCTTACTCAGACCTTGGCCCCTGATCATTGACAAGCCAAAAATGGCAGTCCCAGCTACTGAGAGTGGCAGAGAACCTGCCTCCTACTACCATTGTGGGTGTCCACGTTGGTCCAGAAATAACATTGTCATTGGGATAAAGCAGATGTCTTCTTACTTGCCTTGTAAAAACTTCTATCTAAATAGGTACCAGTTGGGGTAGGTATCTGGCTGCAAGCTGTAAGGAACCAAAGACGGAGAACCTTCAGTCTCTTCCTTTGGTGCATTTCTTCACAGTTTCTAATCTGAGTGATTGCTTCCTCATCCGAACTCAGGCAGCGCTTAATCACACTCTGCTTTGGGGTCTTACCTTTTTTACTTACTGATGACACATACTAGCATTCATTACCAGAAAGATTTGAAGCAAACTTTTGGTAGTCTTTCCATCCTGCCTAGTGTTGTCAGTAGCATGTCATGTGCCTTACCTTCCCCCACAGCCCTTTGAGCATGGCGACTGTTAGTCTCCTTGGGTTACTCTCAGGACCTCGAGTAAGACTTAGTTTGCCTCGGGGTTGCTCAGTGAGTGGTGACTGATTAGATAGAGCAGTTGCTGGCTACTGTCTTGCTACTTGTATTTTAATAAGATCTATATGTTTAGGAGGCTTTCTCCAGGAACAGAATAGTCTGTGATTGCATTTCATTGCAGAAATATTATCTCCTTTGAAAGGTCTGATGTCTTTTTAAAAATTTTTGCTTATTAATGCCTGTATGATTACAAGCAATTTGCCCGAGATTTGAAGAGTTTGGAGGGCAATTGAAGGTGGCACATGCCACCATATGGCGGAGGAAGACACATTGCAAGCAGTTTTGACACATTTTTGTTTTTAAATTAAGCTCCAGAATTGTAACTACTTGTAAAATCCTTTGGGTAGTTAAATTCCAGGTGGTAGACAATCTTTCCACAAAAATACTGTAAATAATTACACAGACCATCTGGCTAAATGGTTTTCTTCCCCCATTCATTAAAAATAAGAAGAAACAACTGCTTTCTGCAATTGGAGGTTTTATTTTTTGTGATAATCAGCTTTAGAAGTGAAGTAACAGAGTCCCAAGTACTCAGTTTTTAAATCACAACTAACAATTGAAATCAGCACTGCATGAGAGGAAAGAAATTGCTAACAAAAGCGAAACTGTGTATATGTTGAATTTGACCTTGAATTGGTCTACCTTGGTCTACCAGCTCGTACTTACCGGCCCCTTCCTGTGTGTTTAGCACCCTGCTAACGGCTGTGGGCAGTTCCCTGCTCATAATTTAAAAAATAAAAAATTCTGTTTCATCCTAATGCAAAAGAAATATTTTTGTGAAAATACGTTCATATTTTCTGTTGTAGAAAGTCAGAATATTTCTTGTTGCCTTACTGTCTGTCTGCTCCATGTCTGCTCTAGTTTGGGCAAAGATGAGGAAAGTGGTATGTTGTTTAGCTTCCTCCTAATTAAAACAAGTCTAAGAATACTGTGAATTTCTTGCATTAAAAGTTTCTAACTCACTGGGAATAATTATTCTAATTATTAGAAATAGGGAAAGAATTAAAAGTCAGACTTGAGAAGACTGTAAGGAAATGAGCAAGTTGAGAACCTAGGGTTATGTGGAATTGTCTAAACTAGATTTGACTTAAGTTCCTAGATGTCAGTGTATGGGTGATGTGTCTTTGAAATCTCAGACATAAATGATAAATTATTTTCTACAGTTTCTAAAATAAGATTTCATAAAGGGTATGATTAGCTTATTGTGTGTCAGCTTTTAACTTTAAAAAAGCTGTTCTCATCAGTGGTAGTGGTCTCTCAGGTTGGGGGTTATTTTTGACAGTGAGGCCTTACTCCTTCCATATGCACCAACTGCCTGACCCAGGGACTCGCATGTCATGTACAGATCCTTCCTCACACTGTTCCACTTTCTTTTCAGGGTGGATTATGTAGACTCTTTAGGAAGATCCCGGCGCTGTATGAGAAAGGATTTGCCAGATCTGCTGGAGATGGACAAAAATCTTCAGGGGAGACTGTAAGTGTGTGATATGCAAAGTTTTATCCAGGTCTGAAATGCAGCACCGGAACTGTTTTGTGGGAGAACCTGTTTTATAATTAATCACTTTGTTTCTCCAGTAAGAAGAACTTCTTGTAATGTCTAAGAGTATTTATTGAAGCACTTTATAGCTGTTTGGATGCACACACATTAGTAATCCACACCCTGAGAACAACCTGGATGGCTGACCATCTGTATTGTGCATCTCCTAAAAGGGACCAGTAGGCTGTGTCTATTGACTTGGAAGGATGTTTAATTACAGAGTAACAATCAAACCCACAAACCAGCCTTTGGGGAGTAAGGGGTTTGAGGATAGACACAGTTGATTAGTGCATAAACCTACGGGGCCAGGAAGGTAGATAGTTCAAGCGGCTAGGATGCCAGCCACATGCACCTCTCCTCTATTCAGCTTGGGACCAGGATGGGAAGGAAAGTTGTTTGTCTTGAGTGCCAAGGCAAGATTCCCTCCTGCTAATGGAACAAGGCTGCTGCGTGATTGGGAAGGTGAAAACAGTTTTATCAGTTTTCTGGTAGTACTGTGGATCAAGTGGTATTACTCGTCTGTGATCCAGCTGACTGAACTTAGGCAGTGATATCTCATAGTCCTTATCTGAAGACAGGTTTTGCTCTATTTTCCTTCTAGTTTCGTTAGTCCTGCTAATGAACAAACCTTATTATCTGAAGATATGAGAAAAGAGCTTCAGCGCCAGCAATGGGAAGAAGAAGAAAGGGAGGCTCTGAAGAGGCCAGTGGGGCCTGTACATTATGAAGATATTCGGGAAAATGGTATAATTATTTCCTTGGAACTTTTAAAATCATTTTTTAAAATCTTGAGCTAATGGCAAACATAAAGGAAAGTATTCATAAAGCAACAGCTCTTAGAAATGAAAGGTCGTGCTTTGAGTTCACTTTATAGCTTTAAAAATATTCATATTGGTAATATCTTCCTATCAGAGCGTCTGTTAATTTAAGAGTTTGTTCTTCAGCTCGGCGCCTGTAGCTCAAACGGCTACAGTGCCAGCCACGTGCACTGGAGCTGGTGGGTTCGAATCCAGCCCAGGCCTGCCAAACGACAATGACAACTACAACCAAAAAGTAGCGAGGCATTGTGGCAGGCCCCTGGAGGCCCCAGCTACTTGAGATGCTCAGGCAAGAGAATCGCTTAAGTCCAAGAGTTAGAGGTTGCTGTGAGCTATGACACCACGGCACTCTACCCAGGGCAACAGCTTGAGACTTTGTCTCAAAAAAAAAAAAAAAAAAGAGTTTGTTTCCTCAAGAGAAGTGGAGACAGCCCGTGACTGAAAATTAGTGAATCTTTGTTACGCTTATCATCAAATCAGATGAAAACTAGTTTTAATTTTTTTTGTTCTTGCTTAGCTGCTTTCTTTACTTTTTTAAAACTTGTGCCAAATATCACTATTTCCTTTTACTTTGATGGGAAACTTGGCTTTGGTGTAATTTACTGAGCAGGGAAATCTAATCTCTTTGATAATTTTGACTTATTTCAGAGGCCCGACAACTTGGTGTTGGATATTTTGCCTTTGCCCGAGACAAAGAGTTGAGAAACAAGCAAATGAAAACTTTAGAGATGCTGCGTGAACAGGTACACATTAAATTCAGAGTTGATGATGTTAAGAAGGATCTGAGGCCAGGCATGGTTCCTCAGGCCTATAATCCTAGCACTCTGGGAGGCAGAGGCAGGTGGATTGTTTGAGCTCAGAAGTTCAGGACCAACCTGAGCAAGAGCAAGACCCCATCTGTACTAAAAATAGAAAAACTAGCCACGTGCACTGGCAGGTGCCTGCTGTCTCAGCTACTCGAGATCTGAGGCTGGAAGATCACTTGAGTCCAAGAGTTTGAGATTGCTGTGAGGTCTGGTGATGCCACAGATCTCTACTTAGGGTGACAGAATGATACTCTGTCTCAAAAAATAAGAATTTGAGCATTTGGTTTCTTATTGGATCATATTTCAAAAATCTAAATTATTTGTTAAAATTAGTATTCAAAATCTCCTTGTAAGTCGCATAAAGGTACTACATAATTACAGTACTATTTAGGTGTTTCAAGCTTTAGAACTATTCACAAGTAACTTTGATGTTTTAAATCTGGTTTCAAGTGTGGTACTATTGGGGCAGCCTGGTCTGGAAAATAGAGAGTTATTTAAGGGATTAAATAAAGAATAAAACACAGTTGCTTGTTTTCTTGAATGTCAAAGGTTTCAAGATACTCTGTGAACTCTTACTAAACTTCATAAGACATCAGATTGATCATAATACAGCTGGGTCTTCATTTTGAGGGTCTTCAGGATAGCTTCTTAGTGTTGCCTGAAAGTCAGTTAGTCTGTTTTTATTTCATCCTTTTGAATGGAAATATCATGAATTTGGCTTCAAGCACATAATCTTCTAATTTTCTGTTCAGACAACAGATCAGAGAACAAAACGAGAAAACATAAAAGAAAAGCGAAAGGCTATCTTAGAAGCAAGACTTGCCAAACTTCGACAGAAAAAGATGAAGAAGTCACAGGAAGATGGAACAGAAGAAGGAAACAGAGGTATATCATGGTCATATTTCTGAGCTTCAAAAGGGACAATTTTAGTTCCACTGATGTCTTACTAATCAGGCTAGCAATGTGGAAATTAACCATTTAGTTTTATCTCTAAGCAAACAGTGTGTCTTTGAGGTACTGTCAGGAGCAGTTTTTATAACCAAAGTGATGCAGAATGACATCCAGTATTTTTAGGCTGTAGACAAGGATATTAAAAAAACAGTACATTGAGTTGCTTCTTACAACAGCACGGTTAAAATGGAGACTTAGAGAAAAGGCATATTAAGTTTAGTTGTGTACACATATGTTTTAGACTTAATTTTTTTTCTATGGCTATAATTTTTATTGCTTATTATATATTCTTTTTTTTATAAAAGGAAATATATTCACAAAGCCAGGTAGTAAAATAATTCAGATGTATGAGTACATGTAGCTTATCAAAGAACTGTCTCAGGAAGTTGTTCATTTGGAACTTGGAGCACATTCTCTCTTGGAGACACTGTTAAATGCTGTGGTCAGACTATATTACTGTCTGAGTGGATGGCAGTATAGGCTAAACTACCGTAACAAAGAGACCCCTTTATAGAATGGCTCGAGGAAGATAGAAGCCTGTTTATTTAACACTTCAGAGGTGGTTGGGTGAGTGGGCGTCCAGGGCAGGTTGGTAGCTCTGCCCTACCTGGTCATGCCGTCCCAGGCTTCTTCCTGTCCTGCTGTTTCAGCTGCCCTCACCAGCACAGTCAGAACTTGTTCCCTAGCACCTGTTTATGATGTAGCCCCAGCACCTATTTATGATGTAGCCCAGGGGAAGAGAGAAAGAAAGGGGAAGGGGAAGCAGCTTCCTTTTTAGAGATGTGAGTTGCAAGTTGCATATCACCTATTTACATCTGGTGGGCCAGTACTTGGTCCCATGGGCCACACTTAGCTGCAGGGGAAGCTGGGAAATGGCCTCTCCAGTGGGGTGGCTGTGTGCCCAACTGAAACTTGGGGTGTTCTCTTATCAAAAGGAAAAAGGGGAGTGTGGGTGTTAAGGGACATAGAGAGCCTCCCTAGTTCTTGAAAAAGCCTATGCTGAGTTATGGGCCATGTTCTAACCTCTGAATAAAATTCAAATTTGCTTTGAAAAGAAACCAGAAACATTTAGGAATTTGAAAACCATCTGTTTCGTTTCAGATAGATGGCTATCCCTATAACTTGTTAAGTTGTGCATATTACTTCTCTGTTTTTGTTCTATCTCCTGAGCATCTGTCTTTTCCCTAAGATGTAAAGTATCACCACAGTGTTTTTTAAAACTTCATTTTCTTTTGAGTTTTTAAAATATGGCCAAAATTGAACAGCTTGCACCAGATTCCAGCTCTTCATCACCCTGCTCCTCTTTCGTCTTCTGAGATTGTTCCTTCAATTGAGTAATATGAGGATTTCTGATCCTTTTATTATTGATTTAGGGAAATAGGGACTTTGAAATCCATCCTGCCTGGGTTCTTGAATTTTGGCTCTTGTCATTCTCTGTGTGGCATTTCTGAGCTTAATTTTCCTTGTGTATAAAGTGGGGATAATGTGGGAATATTGAATTTAATTCTTGTTACAAGAATTAAATGATTTGTAGTATACAAAATACTTAAATAACCCACTGCCTACGACATGATAAGTGCTCTGTAAATACTGGTTATTATAATACTTTTATTTTCAGGATTAGCATGTTCTGTATTTTTTTAATAGCATTAATCTTTATTATAATGATGTCTTATTTCCTTGCACAAAATAGATGGAGATATTATTGGGCCTTTGCCACCGGAACCAGAGGCTGTGCCAACTCCACATGCTGCTTCCCAGAGTAGCAAAGTAGAAGTCATTGTCCAGGAAAGGAAGGACACAAAGCCTGGAGTGCCTCATGTCCGGGAGTGGGACCGAGGCAAAGGTAAGGGAGGTGGGCCCTGAAGTATAAGATCTCTCCAGAGAATGGAAAAATGCTTTTGTTTTTGTTTTTAGAAGCACTTGGGGGAAGTTTGAAATTTGTGCTGCCCTCATGGCTTTACCATTTTGGAATGCCATTTCTCAGTACCTACTTTTAAAGTGTGAAGGTTTGATGTTCTAATGTAGTCTGTGTTTTTAGTAGTCTCTTTTATGTTCTATTGAGCAGTATATTAGCCTGGATTCACATATGGTTCTGTTGGGATATCCAGATTTTTCTGCATACTTTCTCTGTAATTTCACAATGGTGCCTCTCTTTGGAAGACCATGGCTTATGTCTCTTTGAAAAAGATTGTTTCAGTAGAACATTAGCTTGTGCTATTTGCTCTAAGATCCAAAGCTGAAGTAGAGAAATGTAAGAGCCACTGTTAGAAACAGAGATGATCTCGAACTCGTGAGCTCAGGCAATCCACCCACCTCGGCCTCCCAGAGTGCTAGGAGGTGTGAGCCACTGTGCCTGGCCCCAAATAGAGATGAAATATCAAAGGCTTTATGTCTTCCCAAACTCAATAAAGGACAAAATTTGTGTTTAGGTGTAAAGTACCTATAATGTCATGTCAAGCAATAATTTGAGTGTTTCATTTTTGTCCTGTTTCCCTCTCAAATGTAATTTTAGTCCCTTTTTGGCAATGTTGTCCAGAGCCTACCAGCCTTCTCCACAGAGGCTTCCTTGAAATCTTCCCCCTCTGAAAGTCATCACTTCCTTTTTTTTAGCCTGGTTTCCTATACTCTTTGTAGGTACTACTTATACCTTGTAATATAGTTTTGTTGTTATCCTTATCCTCTAGAGAATCTGCAGTAGTTTTTTAAGAAACAACAATTGAAAATAGTAACAATAAATTCAACTGATTCATTAATCAGTCCTAAAAGTTCTCTTTCTTATTTTCACTAGAATTTTCCTTTGGATACTGGTCGAAGAGGCAATCAGATCTCCGTGCTGAAAGAGATCCTGAGTTTGCCCCACCATCTGATTACTTCGTGGGTCAAAAGAGAGCTGGTTCTTTTGGCAGCCAGGTGTGGAGCAGGCCTGGACCAATGCAGAGTGACCCAGGGCAATGCTCTGGGGAAAGCCACGGCCCCACATCATCAACTTCTACCCCCGACAACCCACCACAAGCCCCCACAGTCACTTTTGAAACTCTGGATGATATGATATCCTATTATAAACAAGTGACATGAGTTTAAAAAGCATCCTGATTTGACTTTGTACTGATGATTGGTGCCTTCCTCTCCCAGAGGGGAAGAAATCACTTTAGGGAGTGAGTGGTACCTTTGCCCTTCTGTCTTTTCTCTAAGTGGCACAGACCTCCAATTGGATCATCAGCAAGGAAGAAAGTGAACGTACTACGGGAACTCTTCGACCACTTGGCTATTTTTTTTTCCCCTAATTGATTTAGAGACATATTCATCTGGATTTATGGAGGGCTATGAGAGAGTAGAAATATTCATTCTGTAAAATTCAACACTGAGATGCTTGTAGCCATATCCGTTCCCTTGACTTACTCAGACATAAGGATTTTTCAAATTTTGTAAATACCAGCACATGGGTGTCTTTATTCCAAGGATTTAGCTTCTAGATCAGCCTGATGGAATAAAGATCAGGAGGAATTTCCACCTATCAAACAGTGGCAAATGAGGGTACACTGTATGAGAGGCAAAGTGATCAGTATCCAGGAGGACCCTGAAGCTTAATATAATCACATTTGAAACTGTAAGGAAGACCAAGGAGGAGCACTTTATAATCCAGAAAAGGGGAAATTGAAGTTGTTTGCTGACTTCTATTGCCGTACCATCCTGTTATGCATATTCCCACATACAGCAAGCATTCAGTGTGTTGAATGACTGGGTTGAAGGTGGAGGCTGCTAGGCCTGGTCAGGGATCGATGCTCCTTAGCCATAATGGTTAGAGCTTTTCAGCTTGTTCTGCTTCCCCAATTGCTCCCACTGTAGGCCTTCCCCACTCTTGGGTACCTGATTTGGATCAGACTAAGGCCTACATAGAGCAGAGCAGGTAGGTCCCTACGTCCTTACGTAGGGGAGGTTTAGGTGGGCAGGGCTCCTAGAAGATGGCACTGTGCCCAGGCACTAATTCTGTTGTACCTCGGAGGGTTCCTTTACAACTGCAGATGACTAATTGGGAGCTGGTCACCAAGCCTGCTGGGTTCCCACAGCTGTTCTCAGGCCAGTGAGTCCTGTGAGAACATGGGAGCACAAGTTGTCAAACTGCCTTGAAGGGACGGGAAGGAGAGTATTAAGTGAAGGAGCCTGCCCTCCTTGGCCTCTGCATTTGCATTCTGGGAACGCCCCACTCCGCCTCCCACCCCTCCTCTTCACTGCTGACAGACAAGAGCATGGAGAGGTTCCACAACTTGTCCACGGTCCTATGGAACTTAAGTGGAAGATCTGGGACTTAAACATAGGTTATGTCTGACCTCCAGACTCATGCTTTTCCAGTGCCCTCTGTTCTGGGTCTTGTTGCCCTGGTATCAAGCAGTCAGACAAAAGTCCTGGATTCTTAACCACCTCTAAACTCTGTAGCAAGGGTATAGTTGTCATTCTGTCAACCTAATCAAGCAAGTAGCTTTTTCAATAAATATGTGTTAAAACCAACTAACCCAGCTGCTTTTTTTGGAGAAATTGATAAGCTGGTACTGAAATTCATGTGGAAATGCAAGAGACCCAGAATAGCCAAAACAATCTTTAAAAAGAACAAAATACAATTCCTGATTTCAAGACTTGCTACAAAGCTACATTAATCCAAACAGTGAGGTAGTGGCATAAGATTAGGTTCTTGGATCAATGGAACAGAGTTGAGAGTCCAGACATAAAACCTGTGTGTCTACGGTCAATTGATGTTTGACAGTGGCACCAAGACCATCAGTGGGGAAAGAACAGTCTTCAACAAATGGTTCTGAGACAATCGAATATCCCATACCAAATAATTTGGACTTCACCTCATAACATATAGAAAAATCAACTCCAAATTGATCAAAGATCTAAATGGTAAGAGCTAAAACTACAAAACCAACTGTGACTGCATTGGAATGCAGAAAAATTGGAATGGTAAAAATATAGGTAGTAGTATTAGACGTGCTGAAGTCATAATGTTAGAACAGAAGAAGGATTTGACTTGAGAGGCAGATTGTAGAGTGGAAAGAAGGGACAGGAAGACTAGCCAGGCAGCAATAAAAGCCCATGCATGTGGGGCCAGTGGGCATGAAAACGTCTGAGGAAGGTGACCAGGTCGTTGCCCAGAGCACCTAGGTGGACAGTGAAGCAGGTGTGCACATTGGTGCATGGTCACTGTTGACTAATAACTGTAACTCATATTTTCTTTAGGATCTGAAGGATGTGGAAGCCTATTATAATTCCCTCTTCATAGCATAAATTTAGTTCATAGTTTTGTGAGTCCAGTTATATCCTCTTCTGTTTCAGATGCAGAGTTCTCTGAGTATTAATTAGCACACCATCCTGACTTCTGTTTATCACGGGATTGTGTTGTAGCAGTGTATCCAGTAGATGGCACTGGACTTCTCAGGTATCAAATCCCTGCCCTAAAACGGTGCTGTCCAACAGAAACGTGAAAGTAAGCCATGAGTGTCATTTTCAATTTTTTAGGAACCTGGTTTAAAAAGTGAAATTACCTTTATATTCCATTTAACCCAGTATATCCAAAGTATCCCAACAGGTAAGCGATATACAGAAATTATTAATGAGTCTTTAACATTTCTTCTTCACATTCTGTCTTCAAAAACCACTTACATAGCATATCTCAATGGGATGCTAACTTTTTATCAGTAATACTTGATCTGTGTAGAAACTTCATAAAATACACAGTTTAAAAAGTAAATTCATATCCAAGTTATCCAAACATACTTAAATATATTTAAAAGTTTTCCAAGAAGTAAATTGAGATGAAAATAAAACCTAATCATACCAACTGTTTCAGATGCTCAAAGACATGTGCCTCTGGTGCCACTGTCCTGGATGGTGTCACCCTAAGTGGCCTGTTTTTACCTGCTTTAAGGCCTGACTATGCATAATCCAGTAGTTACTAAAGGACTGGCAAGTACATTCCTCCCAGGCATACACTACATGTTCAAAGTATTCTGTGTAACTTGGGAGCAAGTAGTAGCAGAACACGACCACACCTTACTTGTGCCTTTGTAGTGCTAAGCAAAACGCTTTAAATCAGAAATTGCTCTGAATTATTTGCTTTCATTGTAATTTATCCTCCAGGCCTTTGTGTGTTTTGATACAGTTTGCTTGAATTTGCTCAATAAATCATTTTGTTAGCTGCAAAATTCCCAAAGGAGAATATTCAAATCCATATACAGTGAGATTCCTTCTATGTTTAGCTGTACATTTGCCAAAGACCCGTGGGGTTATCTGCCCCCTCTGATAGCCCACGGGTAGCTGTGGGATGGTTTTCAGCTAACCTTGTTGTGACATAAGGTGAGGCAGTGGAATTTAGAATTTGGAGGAGGGGGCGGGTACTGGTCTTTACAGTTAACATTAAGTGGCCACACCATATGTGTGGCGTCTCCTTTTAAGCCAGTAAATTGAGCTAAGTTGGTGGTATGCCAAGCATTTTATGTAAAAAACTACATGGCTAAGGTGAGTGATAATAATTGAAAATAATTTTTTGACCCCCTGAAAATGGTGAGAGAGGATGAAACTCTCCTGGTCATCTCACCTACCCCTGCTAGCTGGCTGGGTGAGGCATTTTGCTTTGATGAGCTGTGGGCATCTACCTTTTGCACGTGTGTCGGGCATGAGGGACTGAGGATGATTTGATTGGTCTAGATCATTGTCTGGGAAAACTGGAAAATCCAAATGTTGGAATGAAACGTTTGAATGAAAACCTGCCACCCTGGCCTAGTACTGATGTTGCAGTGCTGCTTTAGAAATGCCAGGCAGCATTTCTGTATTCATGCATAGCAAATGTGTATTTGTCCGGTGCAAAAAGTGTCAGAAATATTACTACTTTTCCACCTTTAATTTAAACTGCTTCTTTCTCTACTGTGTTTCTAAATGCCGTGTTCTCACTAACTCTGAAAGCTCTGTGCTTGGTGGCAGTTTGGCCTGGCTCTAAGCATTTTCCTTGGAGTGTGCTGTACTCTCTTCTGTTCCTATTGGGCCATTCAGTAATTAAGCTTCCCTGAGCTTGAACACAGGGTGTCCACTTCCCCTCACCCCATGCCACCCTTTCCACACCCACAGTCATAGATGATTGGGGTTGTTTTTGAAAACAAGAAAATGCAAGAATAGGCCCTGCTCCCAGCCCTGGTTTCCCAGGTCACAAGTGCGTCTGAGAACTGTGCTGCCGTCTTTGCTGGGACTCAGGTTTTATGTTTTCTCAAAGATAATCCTCTTTACCTTAAAAAGAAAAGGCTTTATATTTTTGCTCCAATTTATGATCTGCCCAGGTTTTTATGGAACATGTAATAAATGTGTACACACCATCTGGTTTTTTTTTTCTTTTAACATTTCTAAAACTGGGCTTCCCAGTTATTTTTAACTGCTGCCTAATTGTTCATCAGATTAATAGACATCATTCTTAAACATTTCCTCCACCGTTGGCCACCTGCAGTGTTTCACTGTTAGGAATGAAGTAGCTATAAGCATTATTTAGTTTGGCTTAACAAACATCGATCTTTATACGAATACCTTCCTCACCCTACCCCTTTTGAAACCATCCCTAGGGGGTCGCTCTCCTAAGAGATCACTGGGTCAAAGAAACAGTCAGTGTTGTTTTTTTATGGATTTTATCAGGAGATCCATCTCAATAAGGGCCTTTTGGTAGGTGGTTTTCAAGTGATGGCTTACACTCCAAGATGGTCATGTGAGGTTCCAGTGTCACCACCAAACCCTAGCATCACATTAAGTTAAGCTCATGCATATGTGTACTGGCCCTGACTCTCCTTACCCTAAGATACACTCTCTAGCTGAGCCCCCCTTTTCTTCTGTTAAGAGGACTGAAGCATCCACCCAGGACACTGTTTTATATACAGAGGACAGCATTTATTAGTTTTCCTAGCCTCATCTCCATTTCTTTCATGGATCAAGTGAGGACTGCTCAGACTTGTGGTCGAAAGCCACGCTTGCTTGCAAATTACAGTCACGCACTGATGTCTGGACTTGCTGCCCTTATCAAAAGCATTTCTGATTAAAACCAGAGAGAGCCAGAA